ATGAAACAATTTCACAACCATATATGAAACAACTTCATCAAAAAAAGTATTATATGAAACAATTTCACAAGATTAAACAATTTCATGAAAAAAATTTCATATGATTAAACAATGAAATCGACAGATGAAGGTGGTTTGCACGGTTTACACAAATGAGGGCGGTTTTCATATGATCACTCCTCTATATATATATATATATATATATACACACACACAGAGAGAGTCGTACTCCATTTCTTGTGAACTCATCCTCACCGGTAAACTCCATTTTCGATGAAGCTATTTCCATAGTAAACTCCATATTTGGTGAAGTTATTCCCACTGTGAACTCCATCTACAGTGAAGACTTCGTCTCCTTGTTCCCGTAGGAGACACGCCCCCAAGCCACCACCTCCACCACCATTCTACTTCTTTGGTGAATCATCTCCCCCCCCTTCGTCCTCATCTATCTGAAAACCACAACGAGCTCCTACACACACATATAGAAAATGATGAGACCCCCTTATACTCCCAACGACTTATACCCTCTATCACAAACAACCATTTTTCCACAACCACCCTTCACCCTCTTCTTCCCCCAACCCACCTAGCATGCTCTGTTGACTCTCCTAGACACATAGGCAAACCTACTGCATCTCTCTATCTCCATTGACTCTTCATTAACACAATACTAGCTAATCACATCCGACCACCTCTCTCTCTCTCTCTCTCTCTCTCTCTTTTCATCTATGTGGTCTTCACACAAACCCACAGTCTTCGCTAAACACATAAAAGCAGACAGAGGGTGAAAGAGATAAAGAAGAGAGTAGAAAAAGTTGCAGGTGGTGTACAACTTCTTATGCGTTTCACCCAAGGGAGGAGGGAGAACAGTGAGGGAGGTCGACGGTAGGATGACTCTCGACAGGGTGCGATATGTGATGTGGGTGATACAAGGGGGTTCAGTAGGTTTGGGGTAATTAGGTCCAATGCTTTACCAACAGTTTTAGTTGGGGAAAAAGAAAATAAGAGTGGGGGCAAATGTGGATTGGGAGGGTGAGGATGGGTGGAGTTGACAAAAGACAAGACTGTATAAAAATTAGTAGTAAATAGTAGTAACAATAATAATACTAATAATAATATTAATAATAAGTTATTATAAATTTTATATTTTATTTTTTTATTAGGATAAAGGCAAAAAGGAGACGGTAAAAAGATGGAAATAACTCCTAACTTAACAGGGTTAACCAGTTAGAGGGAAGGACTCGGAGCGTGCATTTTTGCATATCATAGGTACCAAGAGTGTAATAAACACGTTTTAAAGACCTTAATCAAATAAATCTCATACCATAGGGACCAAGAATGTAATTTACTCTTGAAAATATATGTATATGAAAAAGGTACATGATGTAATTGTCTAATGTATATATTGATAGATAATCAACAATCATATTAAATCCAAGAAATACGAGAATGTCAGGTTCATCAATTTGGGTTGAGTTCAGATAAAGATAACCAAATATCAACGTAATACTTACAGTTTGAAGATTTTACAACTCCATTAGACATTAAATTGCTTCAGGTTGAGTTATTTCGTGCTGAAATGGGTTGTCCTTACCTATACATTGCTAAATATACCCCTATTAAGTAATTTCCCCTAATACATCAACATCAGAACTTACTTTTACGTTTTTAATATATGATTTGACTTGATTTTGATCTTTTTACATATGATCCATACTCTTTATTATATTCTCTTTATTATATTTATTATGAGTTTGGTATGAAGATTGCTATTTGCATCTTATTTAATGATAAATAAGATCCATTCATGCATAAAAATGTAAAAGTGATTTTTAATGGTGATATATTAAGTATAGGTGGATTTAACAATGGTGCAAACGGTTGTGATACACTTTTCCGTTGTGGGTCCATGTTGTAGGGAAAGAAAAGAAGCAGCGTAGGGACCAAAATTACCTTTTCCGAGTTCATCGGAAACGGAGTGCAGAAATAGACGGAGGTGGAGGACTCCGTCTGAAGATTCGCCGGGAATCAATCGGAGGCAACGAAATGGAGAAGGCGAAGGCGTTGGCTCAGCAACAACTACAACTACAACAACAGCTGTTGCTACAACAGCAGCAACAACAACATCCTCAACAACAGTTTCTTCTATTGCAACAAATCCAGCAACAACAGGCCATCTCTCGTTTTCCATCTAACATTGATGCCCATCTACGGCCACCGTTGCGTACCATCAGAACCCACCTACAACCACCACAAAGCCCTAACCCTAACCATAACCATCCACAAATCCCCAACTCCTCAAATTTACAACCCAATCGGCTCCAACATACTTCCCCCGCGAACCAGGCTGAATTGCAGATGGCATATCAGGACGCTTGGCGTGTCTGCCATCCCGACTTCAAGCGCCCTTTCTCTTCCCTAGAAGACGCTTGTGAGAGGTTCTGTTCATATAATTGCTCCATATTTATAAATGCAGATTCGTTTTAATTCCATCCATTCTGAAATCCAGTTATTCTGCTCTTCGTGCATGCGTTATGCATACCTTCTCGATTTATTTCTTGAAAGTATTTTTCTTGATCTGAAATCTCTAGGGAATAACACTTAAATTACCTTATGCTAACATTTTTCTTTGATCTGAAATCTTATATGTGTTTCAATCCTGATGTTTTTGCTATTCTAATCGTTATTGTTTTATAGGGTAATGCTTAGTTTTGGGGGATTATCAAACGGGTATGATGACTGTGACAAGGCTGGTTTTGTTGACCTTTCTATCTATATTTTTTTTGTTTTTATGGTTGGGATGGGGGTGGGAAGGGGTTAGCTTTCCAAGTCTCTATCTTGTATCAACTACTTCTTGACTTTCGACTTTATAATGAGATGTTTACTGTGTCATCTATGTTGTAGTTATCATATAGAACTTTCTGTCATTCCTTTGGGATATTTACATGGGGGGAATGCAGTTTTTGAAAATTACATATGCCATGGTCTTAGGAGATGCTAATTATCGATGAGCATTTGATTAACCACAAGTGAATTGACTCCATTGCATAGATCAAATTATGCGTATATAGATCTTGACAATTTTTGGAACACATTGCAAGAAAGCAATGTGCTTGTTGTTAGTAAACACCATGTTGATCGAAATAAGCAGGGTGTGTTTGTATCCTTGAAATAGATGAAGTGAAAAAAGAATTTTTTTTCGGGGGGGGGGGGGTATCCTTTCCTCTAGAAGGTAGATAAATGTGAAGTAGAACTGAACTATATAATAGGCAATATATTGTATGATCATCAAATACTTACATGGTTTTCCAATTATTAATCATCAGTAGCAGGATAAGAGATTCTAGGTGTAGGTGGTTACTGCTTGATGTTACACTTCCAATATTAACATAAGCACAACCTTGTCGTTTAAACATGTCTTGTTTACATGGGGCCAGCTAGATGATTTAACTAATTTTTGTTTATCTCTCGATCTGAATCATTATTTTTGTCAAACTTCAGTATTTTCATCAGTTATCTACATCCGTACTAATTTTAGTTGGTCCATGTATCTAAATCTGTATCCTTTTTTGTTTAAATGACGGAATTTAATCAACTTGAAAATCAAAACATACCGAGATGGGAGGAAAGAAGCCAAGGAAACTGAAACTTGCACCTTTAAAAACCAGCCACTCGACCCCAACAGACCAAAACCTGCCAAAAGTCACAGAAAAACTTTAAAAACGACCAAATTGAAAGACCATAAATAGATACCTAATATGAAAAACAATAGAAAATTTGCACTGCCAAAGCTAATCCTACTTCTTTTATTAGCTGAAAGTAAACCCTGAACAAACTCCACTAGAGCATCACAACCTTGACCAGTTGAGTTCCCCATAATCAGCAAACATGTAGTGAAGTTAGTCAAGTTATACAGACATCGTCCTCATCTAAGTCAATCTCTTCTTTATCATAACAATAAACTTATTCCTATACTAATTTTATGACCTTCACTTAAGGGCCATTTATTAAACGTTTATCAGTTAAGTGCTTGCCGGCAAGAGTCACCACCCTTACTTACCTTATCGGGTAACATTCTTGGTTATCAAAATGGATTGTTGGTAAGCGTCTTTTACCCGATATGCACTAATAAGGTAAGAGTCTTTTCACTCGCTTACCGTGTAAGATTCTCGGTCCTTGCTATGCCTCTTATCAGGTAATGTTATTGGTTCTTTCCAATGCTCACTCGATAAGGTAAAGACACCCTAGTAAACGGCCCCTTTCTGTCTATTTTTTATGTGACTAGGCTATCTTAAACGATGTTTGCCATTATAGCTCTTGTTGGCACTTCTCCCTTAGGCCTTAACATATTCATCATTTCTAATTTTCCCACTTCCATCTTTCCAACACACATTTTTGTCAATGCGTGGGGCAGGAGCCAGTGGTGGAGCAAGAAATTGATACTAGGGGGAGTGTCAAATAAAATAAATAAAAATAAAAACGAATTTTATCTTTTTGAAATTGACAAGAAAAAAAAAAAAACGATACGAAATTGATTAAATAGTGGCCTTTACAGATTAACAGTGAATTGATTTCCATACGACTTGCTTTCACAACTATTAGAATTATTCTATCTGACATAAATGACTAATCCATAAATGTTAAACATTAAATGTTAAACTAGTTAATATAATATAAACCAAAATCAATATTTAACAAATAACAAGTATGAATTAACAGTATATAAATGGGTAGTCATAAAATCGAATAAGTTGAATTATGGACCGAGTCACTCAACAACTTAAGAACAAAATGGAATAAGAAACTTCAATTTTTCGAATTTATGTCATAAATTAGATTATATTCTTTTTCTTACTTTTTGCTCTAAAATTAGCAATTGTAAAATTTAAATCCATCTAAATACAGTGCCAATCTAGTAGTAATCAATTGTGACGCCAACATAAACCAAATAAAATAGAATCGAACTATATGAACTAAGCATTTAAATATACAAAGTGGGCTAAATTGTAATGGTTCTAAAAATTTGAGGACAATTTTTAAAGTTGATCAAAATATACAAGGACTTAAGTGTACATTTTACTTTTTTACTTAAAATATATCCCTTACGGTGAAGGATCGTGTGAGAAGGGAAGTTATATGAGAAGCGTAAGAAGAGATCTGAAGCCTTGATCACTTTATATTCTCGTGCCCACCCATGAACTGGACTTTAGAAGGGAATTGATATCTCGTTGCACCTCATTAGTGTTGACATTCAATTAGGATTGATCCAAGGGTGGAGATCTCTTCTTACGCTTCTCACCGGAACCCAACCCCATCCCTTACCCACTCTTCCACCACCTCAAACACTCCACTGTGTTTTTACTTTGACAATTTACTGCAGATGTTTTGAAATTACTATATCAATATTTTGCGAAACATCCATGGTTTTTAATAAATTTTCCCAGCTATTTTCGAGGCATGGAAATATGATAATTTTTTTAATTTTAATGACTATTTTTGGAATGGAGGACTTCTACATGGTGACTTGAGCATGTGGTTGAGGGGGTGTTCTCTTTTTCATTGGATATGAGGATCAAACTTTGTGATCAAATATTGATCAGCATATGATGTATGCAAGACATGCATGTATTTATATCTCCAGAGGCTTCCTACATTCTCTCAATTACCATTAAGAAAACATATACAATTTACGGCCATTTTTTCATGTAACTTGATAAACTGTGAGGTAGGTTATATTGGATAACAATAGGATCTGCTATGATATTTAATTATTTACACAATATGAATGTGGCCTATATGGGAATGATGAGGTGAATCACATGAGAAGATGAATCTGTGCATCTTACCCTCCCCAGACCCCAACTCCGAGTGAGTGGGATACACCTGCTTAGTTTGGCATATACCAAACCAAACGAGCCCAGGAAATCCCACCCCGAGATGGGGTCTGGGGAGGGTAAGATGCAGACTGATCTTATCTCTACCCAAGAGTAGAGCGATTGTTTCCGTGAAGACGGAGCTGGTGCAAAATGTGAGAAAGGTAGAAAAACAGAGACAATAAACATTGGAAAGTTAGATATGAGTAAACCAATAGCAACAAATAGGAAAAGAAACAGAGAGACAAATATGCTAAATTTTGAGAAAGGAGGTATGAGTTTGCATATATTTTGTAAATTCCTATGGACGATATATTAGCTTCTTCTTTTTTTTGGAAAGGAGATATATTAGCTTTTTAACCACATCATATTCATATTTAATCCTTCCAGGCTGCTACCTTACCATGTGGTAGCAGACTATGAAGCAGAGGAGGATGATAGACTCCTTGATTCTGACACCACAGGCCAAGCGTTATCCCGCTCTCAGCAATGGGATCACAACATTGCTAACAAAGTAGCCGAATTCACTGCGACCTTTGAGAAACAAGTTCTCGCATTCAATATCATCTCACAGAAACGGGCCATTGGGGAGTTCAGATCAGAAGAGAGATTGTTGGTTGAACAGCTTCTCCTTCAGGAAGAAAGACGAACATTGTTGGAAGCAAGGGCAGAAATGGAAATAAGACAAAAAGCTGGGCGAGAAGCACAAGCAGCTAGTTTGCGAATTGCAGCAATGGCCCAAGCAGAACAGACTCGAGCGGAGATGATGGCTAGGGCACCCATAAGAGCGAGTGCATTGGGGGCTCATGAAGTGGGTGAGCAGGAGCAAGAAGTTGTTCCAGATGAAATGATGAATGGATGGGGGGCACGAGATGAAAAAGAACCATCCGAGGATTTCCTGAATGATGAAGAAAGGGAGAATGGAGATACAGGTACGCAATGCGGTTGGCGTGAAGGTGGCGAATTTGATTTGAACACAAGGTAAGCCACTTATAATTCAAACTTCAATGCCTTCATAGGCTGTATCTTGAAAAGGATATGACAAATCAAAAGTTCTAATTACAAATTAAAGCAGTCTCTATTAACAAGTGCCAATATTAGTTTTACTTGCCTTAGCAATCTCTATGTTCCCTGTTATTTTTTGTTTTGCAAAGCAGGGTCTTTATGGAAATAGCCTCTTTACCCCTTGGGGTACAGGTAAGGTTGCTTAAATCCTACCTTTTCGCGGACCCTACCTTATACCGTGTTCTTTTGGTTTGGGTTTATCTATTGGTGTCATTCTTTAAATCAGTTAGCCTGTTTCATGTGTGATGATCAATGTATCGCTTCATAGACACAAGACATCGTTGCTGATCTAAAAAAGATCTTCTCCCGTGAGTGAGAACTAGAGCTGAAGAAGCCAAGGCTATTTTTCACACTCGGTTGAAGTTTTACGGTCTTGCCTCGGACCACCATGGACGGATTTCTAAGGAATATTCACCTCTTTTCCCCATGGCCACAAATATCTTTCTGTACAATATGTCATTTGCTCAAGTGGACCAACTTGACTTTGCTCTTCATTGATCACCGGTTCAAGGACCTTCAGTACCACTGGAGGTTGTCCGACTATTAACTTTTAACCTTGTCTTAGGACCTTCAGTACCACTGGAGGTTGTCCGACTATTAACTTTTAACCTTGTCTTAGGACCTTCAGTACCACTGGAGGTTGTCCGACTATTAACTTTTAACCTTGTCTTAGAATTATGAACACCATGAGTTACATAAATAGTGTAATAGTAAAATTGTTGATGCAATGATTGAAACTCGTCTGGTTCGATAGGATACCTGATCCCATTGATAATGAGTGGGGAATATGTCGGTTTTTGGTAACCTTGTGCTTTCTTATGTACCGGTTATGGATTCGAACCCGGGGAAGATTTGGTTTGTTATTTCATCTCCTCCTTTATGACGACACTCGTGGAATGGTATCATCACTTATTAGAATTCTAATCAAATTGGAGAACTTAATATATTGCTGATAAACCATTAAGGTGCGTTTGGTATCTAGACCGGTGATTGGGAAGACGGGAACTATTTAGAACTGGTAAAATGATTATTTATCCTAATGAGCTGTTTATATCCTTTTTATATTTTGATTAATTTATGTAATCTATTAAATTATAAATAATGAATATTTTTTTATAACCAAATATATTATTAAAAAGTTTTGTGGAGACGATCAAAATGACATCAAAATTTGAAGTTTATTGAATTTTAAATTTTATTTTATGCCTTTTTTATATTTTATGCTTTTATTATTAATTTTTAATAAATTAGATAAATCAACAAAAAATAGAAATTGTATAAAAAAAGTTATTTTTTGAGTACGTTAAAGTGAAAATTTAAAGAATATAAAATAAATAAATTTAAAGGATAAATAAAATGTAAAAAAAAGACGTATTTAATGTTTTAGAAGAGAATTATGTTTTATTTTGAGAGTATATTTATACTATATTATAAAACATTCGACAAAAATTCTTAAAAACTATTTTTTCAGCATGAAGTACAGTTTATTGATGCATATTATTTAAAATTTAAGATTACAAATAAATTTTGCATAAGTATAAATTATTAAGTTTCATATTTGAATTCGAGTAATAAAAAGTTGATAAATATAACCAAATACAGAATAAAATTCTCATTTTAAATATATCTAAAATATAATTAAGATAATCATTGAGTTCTTACAAAATGCTTAATTATTATCTTTATAAAAATTATATTATTATAGCAAAAAATAAATTACTTAGTCATTAAACCTAAATTAAATTATAATTAAAAAAATGAATTAGAGAAATTAGACCAAAAAAAAAAAACTTTTTTATATTGTTTAATTTTTATGATATCTTTAAATTTATATTTTTTTTAAAACATTATTGATTGCTCAAAACCACATAAATCCATATTATAATATCGACAGAGACCAAAAAATAAAACGAAACATTAAAATCAAGATATATCTTGTTGCATTACGCGAGTACTCCTCTAGTTAATAAAATGTTGGCTCGTTCCTTCCACCTTCTTCTATAAGGTAGGGATGGAATGCCCCTGTTCCACTTTTATCCACTATGTTTTTGTCTGCTATATATAAAAATCATGTAGAACGTGGAAAACTCTCTGTCATGTTTAATATACCAAAAGCATCCTTAAAGGGTTATTGACTTGGTATTTTACAAAATTGGTCCTTCATCAATTTAGTAATAACACTTTGATTGCCTTATACAGATAAGGAAAAAAACTGGGTGATTGGTCAGGTCCTTAACTGGTTAAATTGGTGTTACTCCAGTAATTGGTTAGGTCGGTCCTCGATCCTGGTTATAACCGGTCCTCCATAACAAAATTAAGGCCCGTTTGTAACCGGTTACACACGTCCATAATTTTTAATAAATACATTATAATTAATAAATTAACAACAAAATATGCTCCGATCAAATAAATATTTGTTTATTTGATTATAAATACAAATAAACAATAAAATAGAAAACATAATCTTTGAAAACTCTACAAAATGTAAAAAAGTAAATTAAATCGTCTAATAAATACAATCACTCAAGTCTCAATACTCATCATGAGAAATATCCTCATGGTCACGTTCTATTGTATAGTCAAAATCATTGTAAGCAAACGCTATGGGGTTTGGTATGTCGTCATCCAGTGATAACGTGAACTTCTTTTAATTGACATAGGGGAGTTCTTTTTCTAGTGAAGAAGTGCCTTGAATTCTATGGTAGCTATCCAAATAATCCTTAAGGCAAATGCAAACCTCGATTGATTTCGTTGCAAGTTGATTCCTTTGTTTTGAGAACACTCTGCCATTGAAAGAATTTTTTTTTGACGTTGTGCTAGCTTCGACAGTTAGTATATCTCTTGCCATGGTGGCGATGATCGGAAATTGGCCTTGCTTTTCTTTCCCCCATGCCAATATTTCGAGGTGATCAAAATCCTCAAGGGTCATAAAGTAAGAAAATTAGAATCCATAACAATTCGCAATTCATTGCGGTCATAGTTCTTTGGTGTTCTGTAGTTGTTAACCCCATTTGATATTGTAAAAGTATTGTAAAAATAAGGCAAGTTCTCAACCAGAAGACTTTTGCCTAGAAGTGAGTTGAACCAGAGCTTGAGCTAAACGTTATGAAAAGATGTAGAGGTACTCAACCAGAAGACATTCTCGAAGAAACAGAGTCTCTGGCCTAGCCAAGCAGAGCCTCTTGCCTAGGCATACAGAGCCTCTGGTCCTGCTCTACACTTTTGCTTAGTGTTCATCTTCAAAGATATCTCCAAATACTACCTGCCTATCATAGCTTGTCACGTATACTAGAAACGGTTATTTCCCCTTTACACATGGAAATCAACCATCAGTGGATGTGTTGACTTACCTTTTATAGGCTATATATAGGTGATCTATTTAGGGTTTTTAGTATGCTTTTGAATGAAAATATCCTGTACTTGTTAGAGAGAGATTGAGCTTTTCTGAGAGTTTTATGCACATACTAATGTGTGTTCTTGGTGTAAATTCTATATTCTCATATTGCTAATCAATACACATGATGACCTTGATGATTCAGTTTATTGTTTATACTTATTTCATAGTCTTCATTTCTCTCTAGTCTATTATAATAGTTAATGCTTTTCGCTTCCACTCATACATTAATTTTGACATTAATTATTGGTAATTTGAGGATTTGGGTTCCTACAATTGATATCAGAGCTAACTGATCAATCTATTGATCATATCAATCTAATCTGTTAAGGATTTTCCTCATTTACTAGGCTATCTTTCTTATTCAACTTTTCTATTGATCCCTGTTTTTCAAGTTTTCATGACTTGTTCATAATCTTGGAAATTAGGTGATTATTTTATATTCTTAGAAGAAACAGTGTATTGATTTCAACTCTCTCCAAGTTTTAGCAGCTAATTGTAACAATTCCTCAATTTCAAGTTCGATTATACTCCATCTCTTTTGATCCTTGATTTTCTATCAAAATGGCAAATCATGTATAGGATGCTGCTTATAGTGCCGAATCTCTAACTAAACATCCCACTCTACTCCGTGATAAGTATCCTCAATGGAAAATCCGTATTACCCGTGGTAAATGGACCATATGTTCCAATGGCCACTGTTCCTCGTGTTCCAACAACTCTTACCACTGCGGAAGTTCCTGCTCAACAAATTCCTAAGGGATCGAGATTCTTGGAATGTAACGCCTAGTTTATTTATTTGCTAAATCTTAATGTTTAAGCTTTAAGTACAAGATTTTTTAAGAAAATTAAGTACTCTTAAAAGAGATCAATAGATGTATCATTTATTAATCTATCACATTTGTAAGGCAAGTAGCTTACAAGGAAAAACATGAGAAATCAAGTCTAATGGGATGAGTTGTAAAGTCTAGAAGTGTGTTGGCAAGCTATGTGATGATTTAGCAAGACTAGTAAGCATGACTAAGCAAGCTAGTAATTAGTTGTAAAGGCTAAAAGCATGAATTGCCAAGACTATTTGATTACAAGGCAAGTCTAAGAAGCATGACAAAGAAATACTCGGTGTAACCACGAAAGATAAATGATATATAAAGGTCCAGGTTTGTTGTAATCTTGGATTTCGAAATATATACTGTTGGTAGGAGAAACATTCACTCACTAGACCCTTTTGGTCTAATGCTCAATTGTTGGATTAATCTATTTTGCAGGTCAACTTCACAAGACAAAGGCAAGGGGAAAGTATAATAAAAGTGATATTTAGATATGTATGTGTTGTATCAGATGAAGTTTTTTTAACCCATATTTTCTCATACTTTGTAAATAATATTATGATTTGGGTTATAATCAAATGATTGATCAAGTCATATATGATTGTTGTGAATTATACGTTGGATAGAAATGTGGGTTGTTATAGTTGGTATCAGAGCCTTAGTTTAAAGGATCTAGGTATTTCTTAATACTTAGACTTAAACTGGAGGTGTGGAAGATATGATAATAGGTTTCACTAGGACTATGAACATGGGAATATGTTATAGCTGAACCTATTATGAGAGTAAGTGTGATAATGTTAGATTACATGTGATTAATGTAATCATTAGTTATA